TGCTATTATTTTGACCGCAACTGTATCTCTTACTTTGTTTTTATGGTTTCGTCAATTATATGTTTACGTACATACGTATGTACATATTTTTGTATAAATTAAAAAGTGTTGCCATGAAATAAACGAAAATTATCATAATATTATAACTAATCTGAGTATTACTTCGTCGAAATGGATCACCTTTGTTAATACTATATCGTTCGTAGTTGGGCTTTTAAAGGAAATCCTTTATTACTCATTTGTGCCGTATGGTTGGAAAAAAAATCTGACAACACTAATTACTACAATAGTGTTCACAGGTAATCGTTTAATTTTTGAATTTTCAAATGTAATTACTAAAACTAGAAGTAAAATACGAACTTTGTGAATTGTAGAATCTTTGAATTAATAAAAATTACACTGTACAAACCAACTTTTTTTAAGAGATTGAGTCATAGGTAAAAAAGTAATTTCTCCGTTTTTTCGTAGTTAGCCTCCGAAATCGAGATATGGGCCTTCGAAGTTCGTAATTGGGCCTTTGGTTAAAAATTAGTTTTAATTATTGCATGTAAAAAGCAATAAAAGTAAAAATACAGATGGGGCCCGCCTTTTTCTCTTATTTATATGGTATACAACTTTTTTTGTGAAAACTTATATTACAGGTGCTATAACTGGTCAATGGTCAGATCTTCGAAAAATTAAAAACATAATATTTCAGAAAATTTTTAACTGAAAGATTCTTATCGTTATGAAGGTGATTTAATCCCCTTTCTTGTGATATGCATATTTATATACTTCGGATATAAAAATTTGAGAAAAAACACATTCAAAGGAAAATATACCTTTTTTTGTATAAAAATAAATATATCTTAAACAAAAAAATTAAAAGTTTGCAAAAAAAAGTTATATACCATTTAAATAAGAGCAAAAGGGGGACTACGTCTATATTTTTAGGTTTCTGGTTATTTATATGCAATAATTAAATATAATTTTTTACCAAAGGTCCTATTTCGAACTTCGAAGGCCCATATCTCGATTTCGGAGGCTAACTTCAAAAAACGTAGAAATTACTCTTTTAGCTAAATATGACTCAATCTCTTAAAAAAATTGGTTTGGTCCAATACCCAGAAACAAATTTGATTTTGCCGTACAGTGTTATCATAGAAAAAAACGCCCAATGGATTTTGATATTTTTTTTTATATTCATTGAGGTACTCCGATATCATATTTTATATTTATAGAATATATTAAAAAAAACTCATCAATTAATATCTCGTACAAACTGGTCTACATTTGCAGCATCCCATTAATATAAAGAGGGTTAACAAACTCAATTTTATTTGAATGTAATATAACTAAATCATAAAAATATAAACGAGCACACACCTAAAAAACAGGAAAAAAAACATTCGCTAATAACCATTTACTTATTTGTGTTTGTTTTTTTTTTTTTTGCAAAGTTACTTAAAAGTATAAAAGCGATTATAATCTCAAAATGAATAAGATGGGAAAATATTTGAAACCGTTAAAATGACAAGTGTAAAGACAACAATTTTGATGGCAGCAAATTTAATTTTTGTGTGACATACTTTTTGGTGGCAAGTAATACATAATGTACCGTAGAAGTGTATGAAACACTGGATTGTTCAGACACACCAATTCTGTTCGCGTTCTCTCAAGCGTTCCATTAAAAGCAACGCGAGCAGTATGTGGGTATGCGCTGAGCACTTCCAAACAAACACAAAAAAAAAAAACATTTAAGGCCTGGAGCACGTTCTCCCCGCAATATTTATGTTGTATAGAGCCCATTTTCGCGTTGCGACCGCGTAAAAGACGCAGTCGAGATCAGATAAGGCTCAACAAGTAAAGATGAAATTTTTGAGCGAATGACAAAAAGGCGGGAATTAGTCAACGTACAGGTAAAAATGTACACACGATTTTCTGTACAATTATTCATACATATTCGTGTGTGTGTGTGTATGTATACGAGAGGAAAAAAATTCAAATCACTTATCAGCGCAATCTTCAATGTGATCTTCATTGAGGTGGCGGCTGCGGCTTAACGAACGAAAGCGCTATTTTTGCGCTCCATTTATTTCTGTACCTTCGCAAGCGAAAAGTGCGCGCGCGCGCGCGTACAAATTTTTGAGTGCCGTTGCAAATTAGAATCAAAAACGTAAATTAACCTAAGAACACGCTGTGTGGCAAATAGCAATCAAGGCAGCGCCGACAGCGGCAGCAGCAGCAGCAGGTGGGGCAGACTGTGCGTGCGCATTTATGTTTCTACGTTGTTTATGTACGTAAATGTAAGCGCGCATAAGAGCGGTTTCAAAGCATTCTCACCAGATGCCGGTTGTGATTACGCTCGCCGCCAAAGAGTCAGCAGGACAGTCAGTCCACCGCCCAGCAGATCGGTCGGCCTACTCGCTGAGCAGCTTGGGGCGCGCGCGCGCGCGCTGATGAAGCGTCTCAAATTTTTGACAACTTTATTTAGATGCGCGCAGATGTGTACATTTATACTGGCATATATCTACATATCTACATACATATGTATGTATGTACGCCTGCCTGTCAGCAGCTAAGTACTATAAAAGCGTGCGCATAGCCAGTATTTACATTAAACTGCTTCTGAGTAACAAAACAGACGCACATACTCCCACCGCGCGCACCAATAAACACAATCACACACACACACGCTCGCACGAATTGCAACTTACCGCTAAAAGTTGTGAAAAGCTTTTGTAGTTTTTTTCTCTGAAAAGGATTAATTTGTCAAGCGTACGCAAAAAAAAAATGTGTCGCACAATATTTGCATTTATCACTTTCTGTTGCTTGGCTTTGACTTGCACGCAAGCGGCTGTTAATAGCAATTCACCGCGTCCAAACAATCAATACGCCGCCAGCTCACAGCAAAGCGATGCATCTGCTTCGGCATATTTTACAAATAACCAAAATCAATATTTGCATAATAATCATATTGGTAGTGGCAGTCTACAACAGCAGTGGCAGCAGCAGCAACAACAACAACAGCGACCCCAACAGGAGCCAGTAACAGAAAAGAATGTTTTGGATCGTTTCGACCATCGCTTCCCGGATGGCAGCTACGAGTTCAGATACGAATTGGCTGATGGTACTGCGCGCTATGAACGTGGCTACTTTCTTGTCTATGACAAAGTTAAAACGCTGGTTGTGGTTGGCTATTACTCCTACCGTCAGACCGATGGACGTTACATCACTGTCTTCTACAATGCCGATCAAAATGGTTACAGACAAAATCAATGTGAGTATAGTGAAATGTTTTTGAGCATACGAATATTTATTTAAATTAGAATTTTTTAATTCATTCAATTCGGTTGCATAAGTTATTGCGTATGAAGTAGCAAATGTGAATTTCAAATCTGTGACCGACATACAAGCATTTTGTGTGCAAAACAGTCCGCGATTAGACGCAAAGTAACGTGCGAGAAAGTATTTAATTCAAGCCAGCTTATGACAGGTATGCGGACAGTTGTAATTTTATAGGTATTTTCCCTGGTATTTTCGATCTGTCTGGTTAACATTTGAGCATAAAATTTTGTTAATTCGGTTTTTGAACGAGACCCCCTAATTCACCGCCTTGGACATACATTAGTTGTGTTCGTTTGGAAAAGCCAGTAAGCATTAGCAAGCAACAAAATTCAGAGAATAAGGTATCTTACTCTCCCAAAGAGAGAAACTTACTAAGTTAAGCGCGCACAAGATTGCGAAAATTCACTACCAGCTGGCATCCATATAGCATTTTGAGCATAGTAAAGTTTTTAAATTATTTCAAGTGGACAACAAAACAGATCCTAGACGTAAGTTTCTACTTATTCTGACTTTCATCAACACGTGCTTCAATTTCTTTGTACTTAGTACCTAGTCACTGTCAGATTTCCTACTATGTATATCGACAGTGGCGTCGACTGCGTTCAGATTACGAATACAGCCTTTTCCAGCCGAGTACATATGTACATTTCCAATCACTGGAATTAATTAAATTAATTAGCTAAACAAATATTTACATACTTCTTTCATTAGCAAATCGCAAATCGCAATACTGCTCCCAAATTCTTTCTGGCAAAAATTTTCCCAGCACGGATGTGCAACTTCTGCAAATGAAATTTCAAAATTGCGCTCTCTCCTTGCAAGTTTTACAAGTTTTCTGTCCAAACGAACGCGATTTGGTAACAATTTGTATAAGCTTGTACAAGTTTTTTGCATAGCGAACAGAACTATTGCCGGACAAATTAATAGGGTCGCGACACTTTAACAAGTTTTGGCTATTTTTCTTTAACCTATTTAATGTTTACTATTTTTTTTTTAAATTGTAGCTCACTATCTAAGAAAACCCATGTAAATAACTCCAAATTTCAAACTTTGTACAAAAATTAGGAAAATTCGACAATTTTTAGAAGCAAAAAATTGGTTTGCATTTTTATAGGCCTCTAAATTTTAACTAAAGTGGAAGTCGAATCTCGTGGATCTATAATGATTTTTTTGCTGACGGTATCACCATTTTGTTCTATACACAGCATGTTCGACAATTTTTTCGTATGTAAATTTGTTCTACAAATTCTGATGGGAATTTTGATGAAACTTTGTCGGAGTTGTCCAATTTTTGTAAAAAGTTTGAAATTTGGAGTTACATGGTTTTTGTTAGATAGTGAGCTATACTTTTATAAAAAATAACATTAATAACACAAAATGAAAAATAGCCAAAACTTGTTAAAATGCGTTATCCTATTAACACTGTATAAGAGCAGAGACACACCTCACTGGTTCATCTCATTCCCATATAGTCTCCATGCCTTGTCTTCCACAATTTGCGAGCTAACCAAGGAAGATCTATCGGTGCTAAATCGAACAGAACGTTTTCAGCCTCCATGTGCCGCCGCGTCTCACCATACCCGTTAGGCCAACATTAACTGACCTCCAAATTCTACCGAATTTTTAATGATGTAATCCTTAGTTAGGGAAAGGTAAAATCCCCTATTGTTGCCTAGCGCGCTTTTGGCTCGCTCCGCCATGTTCATCCTCCAAATTCGTTTGGGGTCCAGAACAACTACAAAAAATTTCAATCTATGTAAGAGATCTATTTTGAAAACTTGAAAATTTTAAAATTAGGTAATTTTATGTTTTTTCTAAAGAGAACAGAGAAAACAATTTATGGCCCATTAGACATGATTTCGCTTGTAAACGAATGAAGTTGGCCGGATATCAGCATGGCTAGATCGTCGCCTGCTTGATTCCCTGATAATTTAGATTACCTAGAAGTCTGTTCAAGACCACAAGCCATAAAAGCGGTGAAAGCAGGCCTCCCCCTGAGTTGCATATACAGATTTGCTGTAAAAACCTAATTTGAAGGTAATTTCTCTGTTTCTTAACAGAGATACCGCCGGCCACGCTAGAATCACAAGCGGCTAATATGAGTTCCGTGGAACTTCTCAGTACTGTTTAAAACGAGCGTTTCAAGGTGTTATATCGTAGCCTTTAGAGAAATTTTTGAGATAGTTTCACTTCTTCATCCTTCACAACAGCTGCTACATAGAGAATGTGGTGTGATATTTAATCTTGCGGCATAAATTCCAATCGGGCAGTGTCCTGTGAAAACAACGACCAGAGTTGAGAGCAACGGCTTTGTAAGCCTAAGAAAATCCCTTGACCTTGCGGTTACAATCGTCCTGGTTTTAACCCTACCATAGCAAAGAGGAAACAGTCGGATACTTCAAGAATTTCATTAATAAAACTTATGAGAGCCGTTGGTGTATTATTGACGCCTGCAAAACAACCAAGTATTTCCTGGAAAGGCCTGACAAAATGGTAGCAAAATTCCTTCTCAGAAGTCCGGTCTTCATCAGACTTAGTTGGTACATTTTTGGGACGGAAGTATTGAGAATGGATGACCAACATTCTCTTCCCTCGACAAACTGCTAAGATTCATAAAGAAATCTGGTAAGTTTGCGGAGGAGCAATGAATTCCCATCCCACCCATCCTCCAAATCCTCTCTCTAGCCAACCCATACGCTATGCAAATATAGGAAATAATCAGACGCAACTAGTCGCCTCAATCAATTCACTGCCATTCTCTGGAATATCTAAAAGTTAATAAACCGATTTGTAAATGAATAGATTGTCAAAAAATCCCAATTTCCACAACCCTCGATATTTTGTTATTTAAAATAAGTAATTTTATCTGAAATTATTGAAAATGTAATTTTATCAGTAAGCATATATATATTTACATACGATTATAACAAATAATATTTTTGGGATAAAAGCACACGCTAACTTTTCT